ATACTTTCAGTTTATGACTGAATTATATGGCTAATGCAGCAACAACAAAAGCTATATTTTGCAGAAACCAACTGGGAATATGTTATTTTGAAATGTACTTGGCCTATTTTAATCTGCAGGTGTTAGTGAGGACATGCATCTTGACCAGAAGGTTACAACTGAAATATTTGTATTTGCAGTGGGGAAAATTACATTTTCGCTTATTAGCTGTGCTTGTGGGGTCAAATTCTAAGGCAGTGTAGAGAGCAGGGATGCTGTTCAAAGGGCAGTGGTCTTTGGCAGCTAGATCTCATTTTACAATGAAAGTAGATTTTTTTAATATGCTTCTTTAGGTTACTGTAACTAACACATTCTCTTTACATTACATAAGCCTAATACTCACTGTATTGGTAACAATCCTTATGAATTATTTTTTAGCACAACACATGGTCTATTAGCTTTGCAATCTCAATGTAAAGCACACGTAGACACAAAAGGGCAAATGCCCAATCTTAATATTTTCATCCCAGTCAGATGGTGATTTAATGTTCATCAAATAGCTACGGACATCACCAAATGAGGCTTCTCTGGAGGAATAATGATTGGACAGGTTAGTAAACCTTATCTGGATGCTATTTTTCCCGAATAAGCTGAGACCACAACCTTCTCTCTGCGTAGGCTAAATGGAAACTGTCACCAGAGGAAACCATTTGTGTTTAGGACTTTGCTGGTAAATTCAGGTGTCAGACAGGTTAGATAATGCCTACATTCTAGTGTCTATGAAAGCTTTTAGTGTTGTGATTTTCACCCCCACCTCAGTGCTCTCAATACATACACCAGACAGCTGAAATCTGTGTGTTCAGTAGCAATGGAAAAATAACAATTCACAGCTATGGATCTCCCAGTTGGGGTTACTAAGACACAGACACCATTTCCTCCCCACCACTAATGTGGAGATTGTGTAAGATTAAATAAAGGGGAATTATTTATTACCATGCTAATAAAAAGTATTCACCCTTTAGGAAGGTTTCATGTTTTTTGTCATAGAACTGATCAACAGAAATAAACTCTTTGATGTTAAATTGAAAACAGATCTCTGTAAAATTATTCAAATGAATTGCAATGTAAAAATGAAATTGAAATAAAAAAATAAATAACTGCATACAACCTTTTTAATTTGAAATCCCTACATCATCACTGATCCAAAGTTGTATAATTAGTTAAATGTAGATGATTATTATGTAGTCAAGGGATTCAGGTGCTTGTAGTATAAATATGTCAAGGTCAAACATCTTCAGAGTCCATAGAACACTCCAAGCAACCTTGTGAAAAGGGGATTTAAAAAAAAATCAGTCAGGGTATAAATACAAGAAATGGAAAGAATATGGCACAGCTGTTAATCTGCAAAGAACAGGTCATCCTCAAAAAGTGAGCAGCTAAGCAAGAAAACTACTGCAGAAGACCATAAAGAGACCACCCATAAGGATATACAGGGCTCAATGGCTGAGACTGGAGAGAATATGCATACAACTGTTGCCATGGTGCTTTACCAGTTGTAGCTTCATGGGAAAGTACTAGCAGGAGAAGCCAATGTTGATTTAAACTTTAATTACATCTTACCAACAGTAATATGTAACCTAGGAGACACTAAAGGTAAATGGAAGAAGGCTCTGTAGTATGATGAGTCCACAAATGAGCTTTTTGGTCTTCAGAACAAATGCCTTGTTTTACGTTCATCAGCACATCATTTTAAACACCACATTCACACCTAGAAGTATGGTGGTGAAAGCATCATGCTGTAGGAATATTTCTCTGAAACAGGCGCTGGGAAGGCTTTTAAGTTTAGAGGGAAGAATGACTATAGAATAATATAGGCATATCTTGGAAAAACCCTTGGAGGATGTCCTGATGTCTCCAAAAAACCTAAGCCTTGGGAGAACATATGTATTTTAACAAGACGATGACCCCAAGCATGAGCCCAAATCTAAAATGGATCTTAATCCAAAAATGCCTTAAAACCTACAGTGTTAGTATCCCCAAAAGGCCAAGTCAGACTCCAGTGGGTTGATTTACTAACCTTATAAACATGCCACGAACAAGTATACACATCTGTAGTGTGTTCCCTCCCAGCATGATCTATTGGTGGAATCTAGACACCTTTGTAGTGTGCAGGTGTGTTGTGCAAAGCCCTGCATGAATTGCAAGGTGATGTTGTGTAAATTAGCTCTACGTTGTGTTGCTTGCGTTGATGAATGCAGGAATGTAAATGCATGAGCTAACCACTTTTGTCTAAACTGTGAAGCAGCATTATATATGCATCATGTGCATGATTTTTCCATATATGGCATTAGTGGAAATATGCTTTTAGAGACTTGCATGCTGCTATTAGAGCGGCGTGTAGCCTATGGCGCATGCTACATGACGCGCACGTACGTAAATACATAAAAACGCGCCATAACGGCGTGAAAATGTGACACGTTGCTCGTGTTTGGTTGATAAATACGTTTTGCTGTGTAAAAATGCCCACGCACCTCGTGCGTGCGTGTGTTTAGGTTAGTAAATCACCCCCCAGATCTCAATCCAGAAAACAATCCCCATGCAACCTAACAGAGATAGAACAGCTTTGCAAAGAGGAATGTGAAAACATTGCAGTGTTGATATATGAAAAGTAAAAAAATAAAGCAATCTACACAGACTCAAGGCTGCAATGGCTGCCAAAGGTACATCTAAGAAACACTAAATGGAAAGGAAGTATACCTATGCTGTCAACTAATTAGTGTTTTTCCTTGTAAGCTATTTATGCTGATGCAAAAAACGTATTAACAATCAAAATTGAATCCACAGTAACTCAATGTTCCATTAGATAAAATGTTCCATTAGATAAAACATGCAAACTTATAATGGATTCAATAGTTTTCATAGGCACTATATTTGTGTTTTGTTAAAAAAAAAATGTCGCAACAGAAACGTGGAGCCTGCCATTGCTGAACTCTCTACCTAAAAATCCTAGTTGACTGTCTTGCTAACCCTCTTGCTTTTATAATTTGAATAAGGATTGTGACTAATGATAAGCTGAAGGTGCCTTGGTTCATTTGGCTTCGACGTTTGTCAAGCCCAGCCAGAAATCCAGGTTTAGCGAACGTCCAGGCCAACCAAACCCAGAGCCGCCTATGTACTAGCAACTAATGGCACTGCAATCTGCACAGCATCTGTGGTTGCTAGGATGCTAGCAACTGGGCCACACATCATCATTATTTGCTAGGACACAAGCAGGCACACCATAACAACCAATGACACTGTGTGGGTGCCAGCTTCTTAGCAACCGTACACTGTGCAGCCTGAACAGCGTCATTAGTTGCTAAGATTCTGACAGTCTCACAGCATCATAAGTTGTTATCGTGCACCTGTCTGCATCCTAGCAAACAGTGACGCTGCATGGCTCAACCATTGAGGCTTTGCACAGATGTGCCAACGGGTGCACCATAACAAGCAATGACCCTGTGGGGCTGCAATATCCTAGCGACCAATGGCGATGTGCGACTTGCACATTTTCTTTAGTTGCTAGAACGCTACCAGCTAGGCCAAACCCAGGCTGTTCACAGTTTGGTGACTAAGTGAACAATTTGCCTAGGTTTCCTGCCAGCTAAACCTCCATCTGTGCCCTAGCAACCAGTGACACTGTGGAACACATGGTTGACCTGAACCCAAAGATAATCCCTAATATCTGACATTTCTTCAACTATCCTGATTTGCAGAAAGAGACAGTTAATTAGCATTTTCAAAGAAGGTCAGCAATAGCAACCATCATGTATCTCAAAGTCATTTTTTTTCTTATATATTTGGAGAGAGTGGGAAATAGTTAAAACTCCTGTCAAGTTTTTGTGGGCTGTGACTGTGCTGTAGACACAACATTCTGTTATGGCAACTCAAACATTTGGATGTCCCATCACTTTCAGTCCCAGTGACAATGGTTACCAGAAAAAATAGATGTTAAATCCACCCTAATGGGGACACAGACATAGATAAAAACCTGACAAGGATTCTAACTACTCGCCACTCTATACTAAAAGAGAAAAAATGTTGGACTTTAGATTCACTTTAAATTATTCCGCTAATAGCTAATCCGATTGTTTTGCCAAACTTTTGACACACAGAAAGTAATTTTCCGTACGAATAAATGAAATGTAGATAATAATAATGTAAGATCAAAGCACATATTAAGTACAATGTTTTTTCGGAAGAACGTTTTTTCATGAAAATAGTTGAACCATGAATTATTTTGTCCTGTGTGAAAACATATGTATTAACTAGACATGTGCGATTCGGTTGGTTCCGAAATTCGTTTTGGACGAATTTTGGGAAATTCGGAGATTCGGATGCATCCGAATTCCGAATTAAAGCTAAGCCGAATGCAAACGAATCCGAAATTCCCGATTTCCCGAAATTCGTTATTAAACGAATTTCGTTGCAGCAAAATGACATTAGGAAAAAAAAAAAATACAACAGTTACCTTCTCCAACAGTTGCATATTCAACTGCTACATATTGCAGTCATATATATCAAATGCTTCTATGCTTAAAGTACAGAGGCTATGGTGTAGTGGTTAGAGGTACAGGCTTGCAATTGATTGCCATTGTGAAGTTTGCTGGTTCAAGTCCAGCCAAGGGAGAGTAAAGTTTTTTGTTTTTTTTTCATAAACGAATTTCGGCAAGACTACCGCTAACGAATTTCGTCCGAAACTAATTTAATTTCGGACCCGGAAAACTAAAGTAAACAAATTTTTTTTTTTTTTTCAAAACTAAACTAAACAAATTTTTTTCTGGTGCACATGTCTAGTATCAACAAGACAAGGCTGACAGCATTTTCTAGTCAGCCTTATGCTATGCACAATCTTTTATCCCACACCTGTTTGTATACAATGTCTATTATGTAAGTACTGTACATTCTAATTTATCAATTAGGATGTTCTAGAAAGAAAGAGAGAGATTGCTGTCCATGTATTTTCCTTTTACTTTCTCTAGATTTCATTGTCCTGGTCGCCTCGCTGGCGGTTATTGCAGCTGGGACTCAGGGTAACATCTTTGCCACCTCAGCTCTACGCAGTATGCGATTCCTGCAGATCTTACGGATGGTGCGCATGGACCGGAGGGGAGGCACCTGGAAATTGCTGGGTTCAGTGGTATATGCTCACAGCAAGGTAAACTGTTAACGGTGCAACATACTATACTTATCTAAAGTCAATAGTATAAAACATTTAACAGTAATCATGAGTAACTTTTGACTTGTTCAGAAATATAAATCATGTCATTGTGTTTGCTTCCTGCAGGAGCTGATCACTGCCTGGTATATTGGTTTTCTGGTGCTAATCTTTGCCTCCTTCCTGGTGTACTTGGCAGAGAAAGATGCAAACAAAGAGTTTTCAACCTATGCTGACTCTCTCTGGTGGGGAACGGTACGTTTTTCTGTGATGTGTAACACATAGGGATCTATTTATAACCAATTTGCAGAGCCATTCTTCCTATGAATCTTTCTGTGTGAATAGATGCAAAAACAAATGTTCTTAGATATATTTTCTTTTTAGTTGGAATGTATGTAATACTGCTAGATGGACCTGAGCAGCATAAAAAATAAGTATTTATTTACGATGCTCCTCAGCTCCATCTAGTGGCCATAATGCAGTATTACATTTCGGTCACTAGATGGCGCCAATGTTCCTATGCTGAGCAGCATGCATAATACTTATTTCTAATGTTACTCAGCTCCATCTAGTGGCCATAATGCAGTATTAATTTACATACATATCACCTGGAAAAAAAAAATGAATTTCGCATCAAGCAATTGTTCAGAGAGATTTGCTGGGTGAATGGCTCTGCAAATTAGTTATAAATAGACCCCAAAGTGTATTTTTAACTTGTTATGTTGTAAAGTGTTAGTGATAGCTGTGTTGTTGCTCTTGCCACTTTGATATAAAAAGCAAAATAACATACTTATTTTAGTGGTTCTAATTGATTTTTGTATTTTGGTTAGACTGGTTTTATCTATACTTGTTTATGAAGCTAGTCCTGTTTTATACTTATATATTAGCTTCCATACTGACCTCGCCAGAATCAATTATAGCTTATTCTTTTGCTCATACAGCTACCTTTAGCGCTTTGTTTCTTTTGATCATACTAGGTTCCACCTTTTTTCAGAGCAGCTTGGGGTATAATTATTCACATTTATTCACATTTATTCACATTTATTCTTACTTTATTAATTTAATTAATTTAATTTATTACTAAATTTTATTTTTCCAGAAGCGCAGATTTATTTGTTTACAACATACTTAAATAGTTGATGCATAAGACATTTTGTCATCTTGTCACTCCTGTTGAGTGACTGCCCTGCCATGGCTTTTCTCAGTATCTACAGAACAGGCACTAAAGAATCTATAGGCAATTCTACTAAAGTCTTGCAACATATATTGTTGACTCAATTACTCACATCAATAGTTTTTTTTAACTTTCAAAGTGTTTTATTAATTTTCCAAAGTAAAATAAAACAGTAAAATAGCACATGATGCACAATCAGTATAGCATACAATTGCATTTCAGATTCTTCCACAAAAATCAAAACAGTCTGAGAGGAATATCTGGCATAGGGATCCGCCTATGTCTGCAGCAAACATTTGTTATGATCTCCTCCATATCTATGTAAATAGAAGACTTTCTGTCCAACATCAATGTACTAAACAGCTCACGTGTGCGGGCATAAAGAAAAAAAAAAAACCAGACAAAAAAAAGAAAAAGAAAATAGATGCTAAAGGAAGCAGAACAGTTTAAGAATAAATAGTGTTTTTTAATCAAAAACATTTCTATTTAAATATGAATATCAGAAAATCAAATTATTTTTTCTACCTCTTGTAGGCTAACTAAGGTGATTCATTGTATCATTTAATTACATTCTCTAACAAATTGAGTATCAGATGATTGCACAGATTAAACAGTTTGTGTGCACTCCCCAGAGTATGGACCACAACTCTTGCAGCTCCTGAACTTAAATACAGCGTGTTTCTTCTCAAGCAAGAAATAACTTGCTATTTTAGGCACCTAAGATATGCTGGGACTACCTCTTTGAGTCCTGAGAATGTATAAAAATACTGCGAGCGTAGGATCTGGTGCAGATCAGGCCAAATTATGTTTTCGTGCATCAAAAATTTAGCAAATGAGCACACCACTTTATTAAGCCATGGGAATGCATTCAGGGAATCTAGGGCTGGCTAAAAGCAGTCCTGAACTGTTATTTCAAGATGTTAAACTGACCACTTCTCCTGATCAGTCAGTTCCAGATAAAGTGCAGGCACACAGCTGCTAGCACTAGTCCTAACAATGTCATCACTAGAAGATATTACAAAGAATCTAAGGTCCTACTAACTATTATGTGAAAAATAACTAATATTTTCTTTATGGATAGCCTAAGGCTTAAAGTCTATCTAAACCCAAAAACTAAAAATTTAATATATTGCAGCTCAACAGTCCCTAGATGTAGTGGCTCCATTAGATTTATTTTTATCAGGCATTTTATTTTCACCTGGTAATCCTGCCAGCAACACATTCCTGTCCTAAGGTGACAACGTTCAAAAGTGGAGGAACAGCCTTGTCACCCTAGGCTGCTGCCCTGATTTAGACTGCAAGCACCTCCCCCTTCTCCTATCTAGTAAAAAGTGGTTGTGAAGTAAGCTGATAACATTGTTTGAGATTTCAGTTCAATGGACATTACATGTTCTTGGATCTAGATACACTTTAAAATAATGGTAACCCAATCATTAAAATCTTATATAAGCCTAATGTGACACTAAACTCAGGAGTTAACTCTTAAAATGCATTTAAATACCTGAACTAATAACAAAAATGTATCTTATTTGGTCGAAGCCCCGTCCCCACAGGCCGAAGCTCTCCCCCCAACCCGACCCCAAGCTAGTGTAAAGGAGGAGGGGAGGATACAGGGAGGAGCCCTGTCCCTCACTTGCTCGTCACTGCTGAGGCCTCAGTGGTTATTTTTCTTCTTTTTTTGATTGGACAGCTTGGACCAATGGCACTTTGCCATTGGTCCAAGCCATCCACAGAGCTCTTGCCTCTAACAAAGAGTAGAGGCTGTGACAGCTCTGGCTTCAATAGTTAGGTTACACAAGCGGTGGGGAAGCCCGCTGCTGTGTTACCTAACTACCTGTCAAAAGCCGGATGGAGTGCCAATCTGAATGGAGAAAAAGCTGTCAGCTTCAGACTTAAAGCTGACAGCTTTTTCCCCCATAATTCTAGGTGAGGCTCTGCCTCCCCTGACCACACGTCCCTGACTGACACTGTCCTTCCTTCTGGAGGATGGCTACTTTTGTTCCCCAAGGTCCCTGTGTGTGTTGTAAACTAGACATCGCTCCATCGCTCCATCGCTCCTGTGGTTGACTACAATCTCACATTTAGATGTATTGAGATTGTAGTCCATCACAGGAGTGAGCTGAGCTTCCAGAAGGAAGGGCAGTGTCAGTATGAAGTCACAGATGATTTGAGGATCTACAGCTGAGTGATACACAAATAAGATACATTTTTGTTAATAGTTGAGGCACTTGAATGTATTTTTAAGATTGAACCCCTGAGTTTAGTGTTACTTTGAACATGTTAATATCAAAAGTCACTTTCAATCTGCAATGTAAGTCACAGAAAAGGGACACTACCTCCCCCCTCTCCAACCAGAGGTATCAGAGTCTGGCTTGGTTAGTTATCCACAGGATTTTTATTGGAAAGCCCAAGCATGTACTTCATGTTTATTTCTAAAAATAAAATTTCATATAAAAAAATGATAGAACATCAGTTTATAAATACGTAAACTGTCAAAATAATATACCAAAAAAACTATTATACTTTCTTATTAGCTAAAGCAGGGCTCAAAATTTCAAGTCCTGAGCTACTAGCCAGGCCTTAAGAGTTACTCGCCACCAGTCGCCCCACCTGACCCCTACCGTGCCCCGCCCTTAACTCCGCCAGGTCAGTGGTGTTATCAGTTCACTTTTATGTATTTATGCTGTCTGTGTTTTCCACCAGATCACTCTCACCACTATAGGTTATGGTGATAAAACACCCCGTACCTGGCTGGGCAGAGTCCTCGCTGCTGGGTTTGCTCTTCTTGGCATCTCTTTCTTTGCACTCCCTGCGGTAAGTATTTATGTAAGGGCAATTTTTTTCTAGTTTTGGATAGACCCCTCCTTTTCCAGCCATGAGGTTTTTACTGGCAGACTGTGTTCCTGCTAGGCAGATGCATCCTCTATTTGTTCTGGTGACCATTGTCACTGAGTGGTGGAAAACCCAAAACTTCAGAGTTGGGAAAATCACTCAACTGGGATATCTGTTCCTAGGACAAATCTCTAAGATGGGAATTCCTGTTGTGTTTCCAGGACAGAAGGTAAAGGTAATTCTTCCAAGCAGGACAAAAGCAGCTAAAAATAAACTCCCAAAAATATATTTTCTTCAATGGTACTTGAATGTATTTTTAAGATTTAACCCCTAAGTTTATTGTCACTTTAATGAGCATTTAACCCTTGCAGGGTGGGGAAGGGGCCCACTGCAAAGGCAGATTTTGGCTTATTCCCAGAGTTTACCTCAAATTCAACTCACACAATAAACACAAATGTTAATGGTTCATTATGCTAATTATGAAAACTTTCTTTTCTTACAGGGGATTTTGGGTTCAGGGTTTGCTCTAAAAGTTCAAGAACAGCATAGACAGAAACATTTCGAGAAGCGTCGGACCCCAGCAGCTAATCTTATACAGGTAGGGTTGGCTTTGACTTAACTGCCGCAGTTCCCCAGGGTTCCCTGTTTGAGATCACTTTGTGCATTTATACATGTGTCTACTCACTCTCATTATTTCTTAACCTGTTCAACATCAGTGTTCTCTTGCATATAACAAACGAAGAACTGCACAAGGGTTTATTGGGGTACTAAATAGTTCCAAACCTGACTACCTTACGGGAACATGCTTGCTGACCTATTATTTGATGTTATCTCTGGATGTCTTCAAATAAAAGAGTTAATGTAAACACTGGGAAAGGAGTTCTGTGCACTAGGATGTAGCGCTTCATTACAAAATGAAATGTTGTCAGCCAGTTCCTTACAGAAGAGAGCTGATAAAGTTTCCTAGTGCTTGTGTCTGGAACACAGACAAAAGAAAACAATGACTACAAGACAGACAAATATTCTTTCAAACAGCTTGCAATTTCTATGCAGCAGAAAGAAATGGATTTCAAGACTGATCCAGGCTGAAAAGAAGCAAGATATATTTTTGTAATTTATTTTTTTAACCAGTTACATAGTTAGTCAGGTTGAAAAAGACAGAGGTCCATTGATTTCAACCTATAGTAAATAAAAAGACATTGTCACGAGTAATAACCGTTTACATTCAAGTGAAAACTTGTTTTTTTCCTTTTGGATGGGTTTGGAAATGGTTAGAACAGGGGTAGGCAACGTTGGCACTCTAGCTGTGCTAAAACTACAAATACCACCATGCCTTTGCCTATGGCAGTCAGAGTTTTTGAAATGCTTCATGGAACTTGTAGTTTCACAACAGCTGGAGTGCTGACGTTGCCTAACTCTGGGTTAGAACCTTGCCAAATGGCTAGAACCTGTTGGTTCATTACTCTTTTGTCCTGGTCACCATTGTCACTGAGAGAAAAAGTGATTGAAAATCCAGAATGTTATAATTGTTATCAGAACAGGAGGTGAGGGAAAATAATCCAATGGGGACGTCTGTTACAGTGACAATTGGATTTCTCCTCACTTTTGACAGTTTTCCTCATACATTCTGTGGTGTCTCAGGAAAACAAAGTAAAGGCTAAACCACGTCCAATCTTTAAAAAAAAAAAGTTTTTGCAGAAATACCCTATTTTTTATTTTTATTTTTTTACCTGGAGCGTTAGTCACTGAACGGTTTCCTAAGGAGTCTGTTTATCAATGTTTCACCCTACTTTTCACATAGCACTCAATTGGAAAATATGTTAAATTTATTGATCATTCTCATGATGAAAGTCTATAGGGTTGGTTTACCAAAAGGAAACTTACAAGAAGCTGTTCAAAGTGAATGTTCACTGAGTTTATATGGTAAAGCTGTGTTTACCGTGAATAGCCAATCATGTGCAAGAGAAAATTTAAGAAATGGCATTATCATGCACATGACTGGATATTAACCAAGCTACATTCACTTTGCTAAGAGCACATTCTCCATTCATGAGGCAATGCTGTTCAGGAGGGGGTTAATCAGGGGTCGTGCAGGACGCTGGATCGCACTGTCAGCAGCTCTTTCTGCATCCCACCCAGCTCACTGACGTCACTGGTTGCCAGGATCTTAACACCTGATGTTGCCAGGAGCAGGACACAAGCCAGAGCACCAGACAGAGTGTTATAGGTTGCTAAGAGCTCTGACTCCCCACAATGCGATGCCGCCTGAGACAAATGTCTCAGGTTGACTTATTATGGAGATGGCCCTGCCTATGAGTCAACATATTAAAGTATAATTAACCGTTCACATTTTTGGGGGGAATATATGCTAGCAAGGAGTAGATAATATATGCAAAAACATTTTTAAAAATGTAAAAAGTTACAGAATAGGTTAAAACTGTGTCTCTGACGCTCGCTCCCATCCGAAGTTCTGAACATTCTCAGGCGGCCGTGAAGGATCATGGGGCACAGTAAAGATCGTCGGCCGGAGAAGAGGAGAGACACAGGGTAAGTCAATGCAGGCAGCCCAGCAGCGTACACCCGCACAGACTCCACGGGACACAGAAGACACAGCAGTCAGCGCTGGACCGGAGACCGGCACCAGCACTGGAGGGCCTCCTGAAAACTACTGGAAAGAAGGAGATGATCGGATCAAGTGGCATCATTTAAGGTAAGTCCCTAAAGCAGCATGGGGGAGGGGGGGGGGGGATGTGACTTTAATGTCACTTTAAGCACAACACAATCCCTGTTTGATTAATATCATTCCTCAACAGCTGTTAACCCAGCAAGATTTAATAAGACAAAGACTAACACAGATTGTTCTGATGGATGATTCAAAAAATCTCTATATTTAATACAGTAACAGAAATAAGGAAGATTTAAAAATGTGAAAGCCATCACAGGTATTACCATAGGCCCTTGGTGCCTACCGACGGGTCGAGGGCCACTTGCGGCCCTTTGGCATTTATTGTGTATCCCTTGGGGCCGTTGAAAACAGTAGTCTGTGTTTTGGTGCTTACCTAAGCCGATGAAGGAAAATATTATTTAGACTGGGTTAAATATTTTGGTTTATTTATTCGGTATTGTCTAATTCTATGCTGTCCATCAGTTTCTCTTTTTATTTTATCTTTAGATCCTTAATAATATAGAGAAATATCGAATATGGCACAAGTGAATTTTAAGGGTTACAACTGTGGAAACACTGATTTGTAAGAAGGCTGTAATAGAAGCGATCTTTATCAGTCTCATAACATGTCTCCAGTCCATAACATGTTATGACTATATAACTGTTCTTGGTCCTGAGTGGAAATCATGGACCATTATTAGTTAGTCAGGGCTGCAAAAGTCTGCCCAAATGTATATTCTGCCTTGCACAACAGAGAACGATTTGTAGTATAATAATTATGTGATATATGTATTTGATATTTGTTCAGAGTATCTTTAAAAAAATAACATTGTCAGTTGTTTACCAACAATACCAATTGTTATGATAACAACTAGTCTGCAATACTGTTTCATTGTTGTAACTGCTCTAATCTTATGAAAGATCAACTCCTTTTGGTTAGTGTAGGCGTCTGCATTTTGCACACCTTCATTGCTCTAGGCAAACAAATAAGTCTATCTGTTCCATTTGGATCCAATTTGGTATTGCTAGTATTACAGGTTTTGCTGTAGGAATAAAGTGCATCAATAAAGTCATGTTTATGTTAGATAGAATAGGAAGCTTGCTTTTATATTGCTGTTGTATGAATACCAATTATGTGTTTGCTTACAGTAAAGTAAGTGTGTTTTTTTCTGCATACTGTGTTCAGTATGCAGAGCTCTTGTCCTTGTGAGAGAATTTTCTTCTCACTGCCATAATATTTAGGGGAGAGTACAGTGTTGCTATGGAAGGTATTTATTTTCCCATCAAAATAAAAAGGCCCAGGTCTTCCCCCTCCCCAACCCTGGCAGTTGCTGGTTTATAAATGTTAAGTTCTTTGTGTATGGGGGGTGTTAATACTTTGAGGTGGGGGGAGCTCTTTGGAAGCTGGAAACTATCAAACCCACTGGGGGAATAGAAGGATCTTGGTATGACAGTAACATAAAGCAGATTGCTTTCTCACCTATTAGTGGAAAATGGTGTGATCCTCAATAAATATTATGTAAAATGCCATCAAAAGACAGTAGATATGTGGTGCGCAGTTATATTCTGTGCTGCTTCTTCTTTATTAGAGGTGTTTTATGTCACAGCAAACAGATCCACTTTTCTTAGTTTGCAACACTCCCTTAGTGCTATGCTTATCAAATAGGGCACTGCAAACAGCAATAATAGCATACAGAGTATGCTAGCTTATAGTAACCAGTCAGATTTCAGCTAACATTAGACCTAAGGAAGAACTTTGCACATTGCTCTTACCTCATACCTGCACAAGATGGTGAATGGATACTTACTTACCTAAAAGTGCTGGAAATTAGATATAAAATTATATAGTGTCAAATATAGAATCAACTTCTCTTAGATTTGAACCTTAAACTATTACATTCTACATCCCACAAGAATTTCGCCCCATAGATCATCCCAAAAGAAAAAATAGGGCACTGAGAACCCCCCACCCCCACCTTCCCAAGGTGGACTATCTTCCACCACAATGCAGTTCCTGAGTGTAATTCCAGTATACTTAGAAGAGAACTATGGGGTAAGTGTTTTTCCCCATAGGACATATACTAGCCTCCTCCCGTGACCCAAAGCTCAGTATATAGCGGGGGGAATGCCTGCGGGCAAAGGTAACTGACAGTCACCGCTCACTGCAGGGAGACAATTGGGAAGTGAGTGGATCAGCGGCATGTTTCTGCTCACTTTCCGATTAATAGAGCCGACCTGTGACAACTTCTTTGTCACAGATCGGCTCTAACTATGAGGATGAGTGGAAATCACTCACCTCATAGTTCTCCGTTAATAAACAGAATCACAGAAGTGGTTGCTGATCTACATAGATCTAACCTAACATAACCTTTCGGATATGGTCACACACCTAAAGGATATTTTTTAAATTTATGTAATCCCCTGTATTTTATATAAAATCATGGATATAACATGGCAAAGTATGCCAAAATATGTAAATATGTAAAATACATACTGTTCCATACACAAAGTTGTATATAAAAATGTAGTAATAACATTGAATATTGGGACGGAGGGCCCTGTTTATATGAATTTACTGTCAAGAGTGGTTAGAGTGGGAACAAGAGGTAAGCGAAGTATGTAAGCTGTATATGAAATGGCAGTGATGGATCAGTCAGTGAGAAAAACCTTGCACAAATTTTATGTATGTCCAAAGAGGTATTTTCAGAGGAGGGAAGAGAAGTTCCAGATGCAGGAGAGTGATACAATGACTAGAGTGCAGGATAGGAGAAGGTCATGTAAAGAGTGGAGGTTGCATTTTTATGGTTTCTAGAAGTTAGGAAAGAAATGTAACTATGGAGGAACCAAACTACAGTAATACCTTGGTTTACGAGCATAATTCGTTCCGGCAGCATGCTTGTAATCCAAAGCGCTTGTATATCAAAGCGAATTTC